GTTTTATTCATTTTTATTGTGATATATGTGTTGTACATGTGATGAGACGTAAATAAACCATTTGAATTGAATTTAATTGAATTGAATTGAAGGGACTTCACTGTGGTTTTTTAACATGATGGGACTGAAAATATTTTTTCCAGATAAATGTACCATTTGATGTAGGTTAAACAACTAATCTTGAACGTTTAAACACTTTTCACTCAAATCGGGCTATGAAAAGCATAAAATATGATTTTCAATGTATTTCAAAGTATATTTTTTAACTATCTTTGCATATATTTCTGTTTAAAGTGCCCATGCTCATTTATGTAAGAAATTCAAATGTTATGTTTTTAGGCTTTTTAACCTTCAGTGAAGTCCCTTTACTCGTTTATTAAAAATGTTGTTTTTATGACCTCCTGTTACATTATCAGAAAATGTATTGAAATAACATAAAGCTGAACCATTTATTGCTTCGTTTTCTATTTGGATATTGGTACTTATATAGTGATTCGGTATTTAATATCATTTGGTTACACTTTGCAATATTTTATAAATGCAAATTTATTTCACATGCAGTGCTATTTCCTTTATGGTGTTAAGCTTCTTATATGTTTAAAATCTATTACTAAATTATTATTTAATACATGTTTGCCTCTTTGCAAGAAGATTTTATTTTATTTATTTCTGATGCATAATGTGCCTTTAAGTTAAATCAACTTAACCTATGTTGTACTTGTATGAATAATCCAATTTATTTGTTTCGAGTTTAATACTATATATAATAATCCGTTTAAACTTGCCCGATTTTATATGAAAAAGTTATATATTATCAATACTTACAAACCATTTCTGAAATTCACATCGACAAATTAGTATTTATTCACGGACTTTGCGACATTAAAATTTGAACATCGCTTTAATTTTCATTCAAAGCATATTGCTGTAAAAGGCTGCATCAACATGTGTGGGTTTTACTATTCGTTCATTATGGTTTAGCATTAAAGATATACTATGCTCAAATTTGATATCTGAAAATATTGACAATTTCTACAAAGTTGTTTAGGGAACGCAGCTTCCCATACATAGTTTATTCATTCTTTTATTCAAATTAGACGTATTCAGTTAGAATTTCATAGATTTCAATAAATTTCTGTGATTAAAATAGTTTACTCATGGATGAGCATAGTAAATCTTTATCTTACGTTCATACTTAAATTGATTTTTTTCTGTATGTGTGCTATTAAAGCCACGTATATTTTCAAGAATTACATGTATCTGGTTCGATATTTCTTTCTGCTAACGTTATTTCATGCGTTTTCCATGAGAGAAACGTAATGGCTACGTTAAAAATTTCTTTAGTACTTTTACGGATGGCATATCATAAAAAGAAATAACATTAGTGTGTTATTCGGTTGGCTTGTGTTTAATGAGGGTCAATCCGCCTAAAGCGCACAAAAAGCAGTTGTCGCTGTCGAGTACAGCCCCCGGTCATGCCCTTTAAGGTTTAATTTTAAAACACAAATTGGTTATAATTTACCTCAGAATATTACCTGATATGGATCTTGAGCCAAAAAGTAGGTCACTGTACAGCTGTCAATGAGCACCTAAACGCGCAGAAACCGAGACAATATGAAAAGGCTAGGTGGCCCTGAAAATGGCTGTTGGTGTCAAGCACCATCACTGCTTGCTAGGGGTTCACGTATCACTCTCGATGATTGCGAAAAATTGTATGAACATTCATTTTACAGGTCCGTTGAAATACAACATTGATCGCGTATTTATAGTATACTCACAAAATATGTCCAGTTTAAGCATGCGTGTAATGAAAAATTCTCCATCTACGTGTTCCCGTGATCGCTATTATTCTTGAAACATTTCGAATCTAACAAGCGAGTGACCGCGTATAATTAACTCATGTGTAAACAATGGAGAGTTCAACGTTGAATTCAAATTGAATATTTTTAATTTATTAGTCGCATTAAAAATGGAATATAAACATAAATTGTTCTAGAGATCTGTCAGCGGCAATTGCTGGTTGTGTTGCTGGTGGAGGAGAAGTTGTGCGTGGTTTTTTCGTGCAGTTGAAATTGTCGCCCGATATGACGTGCCCGGACTTGTCACACCTTGTAAAATAGCACCAAGTGCCCGAACGTCCCCTACTTATTTCTGTACCTGGTCGATAGTATTTCCCATTATAGTAACAGCCTCGAGGTCTAGTTGTAGGTGGCATTGTCGTTGGTTTTGTTGTTTTACCGCAGTTAAAATCATCGCCATGGATGACCTCTCCATTACTATTGCATTCAACAAAGTAACACCAGTTTCCAGTCTGACCACTGCTTATTTAAGTGTCAGGGGCATAGAATTTTTCATTGTAGAAGCAGCCGAAAGGCGGGGTCGTTGTAGGAGTGGGCGGGGTCGTTGAATTTACGTTAAATATTCTATTTATCACATATCCAAAATAAAGACTGTCTAAAGTGAAAAAGAATCTTTTTTCAACAGCTGAGGGCTGAAAAGAATTTGCCTTTTGAAAATGCGTTTCAGTCTCGAACATTTCCATTTATCTAAAGATGAGATGAACGAAACAGAGACTGATTTAGGGCACGAAACGAGTAAGTATCTATTCCGGCCAGCTAGGCAACAAGTAAATGTAATGAACGGACAATTTCCGTTATATATAGTTTTTTTTGCATAAAATCCAGTGAATAACACACTTTTATGATAATGTTCATGCTACCATTTTTGTATATATTCGTATACTTTCTAAACAAAAAAATCAAGACTTCAATCTAAACAAATTTATGTCAAAATAAACAAAAATTAGGTTATAAACATGGATCAGTTACACTTTAAAACGGTTGAAAAAAATAAAGTTAAGAAATTGTGCACATCTGGGACTTTATCATGATGTTGATTAATTAGGAATATCGCACATATCGCGCGATTTTTTTACTTAACCCTTTCCCCCATGAGCATATTGTGAAAAATGGCCATTTTCACTGAAAAGCCTCCTCTTACAAGTTTAAACTGCTATGAAACTATGAAAAATGCTTCAATACTAATCAAACTTGGCACAAATGTTGACTGGACCATTGCCTTTGTACCGACATGCTCAGTCTTAAATTTCCTGTTACCATGGCAACGAGGGGACATCTCAAAATTGCCAAAAATCACTATTTTGCCTCGATTTTTTCCATCAAAATTTATTTCAAAGTTCTGCAACTTCTCAAGGGATTGAGATAGAGTCAAAGGCATTTCAGCGTTGGTTACACGTTACCTTATGGTCGACGACTTGGGGTCATTTTAAGCCTCTCACAAGTCCAAAATTTTCTTCAAACCCCCCAAACAGAAGGGGGCACATCCCCCTTCTGGTAACCCCCTGATGTATCTTTTGGATGGGGGCGGCGCCGAAAACGTGGTCACTTTTTTAAGCAACATTTCTCAAACGAAAACATGTGTTGGGGGCCCAAATAGGACATTTTTTCACTATTTAAGGCCTTTTAAAGGGGGGGGGTCGAAAGTGCGTTGTTTCGCGTATATATGAGGTAAAGGGTTAATGGGACTCCACTGTGGTTTTTTAACATGATGGGACTGAAAATATTTTTTCCAGATAAATGTACCATTTGATGTAAGTTACACAACTAATCTTTGTGAAAAAATTCAGATCATTCACGCACTTCGTTTTTCCAGAATAATTTTTCAAATTATAAAAAATGACCCAAAATGAAAAACGTTAAAACACTTGTCACTCAAATCGGGCTATGAAAAGCATAAAATATGATTTTCAATGTATTTCAAAGTATATTTTTTAACTATCTTTGCATATATTTCTGTTTAAAGTGCCCATGCTCATTTATGTAAGAAATTCAAATGTTATGTTTTTAGGCTTTTTAACCTCAGTGAAGTCCCTTTAAAGGTCCATTATGTCCCCCCTGCAATGCTACTTTTACTCGTTTATTAAAAATGTTGTTTTTATGACCTCCTGTTACATTATCAGAAAATGTATTGAAATAACATAAAGCTGAACCATTTATTGCTTCGTTTTCTATTTGGATATTGGTACTTATATAGTGATTCGGTATTTAATATCATTTGGTTACACTTTGCAATATTTTATAAATGCAATTTATTTCACATGCAGTGCTATTTCCTTATGGTGTTAAGCTTCTTATATGTTTAAAATCTATTACTAAATTATTATTTAATACATGTTTGCCTCTTTGCAAGAAGATTTTATTTTATTTATTTCTGATGCATAATGTGCCTTTAAGTTAAATCAACTTAACCTATGTTGTACTTGTATGAATAATCCAATTTATTTGTTTCGAGTTTAATACTATATATAATAATCCGTTTAAACTTGCCCGATTTTATATGAAAAAGTTATATATTATCAATACTTACAAACCATTTCTGAAATTCACATCGACGAATTAGTATTTATTCACGGACTTTGCGACATTAAAATTTGAACATCGCTTTAATTTTCATTCAAAGCATATTGCTGTAAATGTGTGGGTTTTACTATTCGTTCATTATGGTTTAGCATTAAAGATATACTATGCTCAAATTTGATATCTGAAAATATTGAGAATTCTACAAAGTTGTTTAGGGAACGCAGCTTCCCATACATAGTTTATTCATTCTTTTATTCAAATTAGACATATTCAGTTAGAATTTCATAGATTTCAATAAATTTCTGTGATTAAAATATTTTACTCATGGATGAGCATAGTAAATCTTTATCTTACGTTCATACTTAAATTGATTTTTTTCTGTATTTGTTCTGTTAAAACCACGTATATTTTCAAGAATTACATGTATCTGGTTCGATATTTCTTTCTGCTAACGTTATTTCATGCGTTTTCCATGAGAGAAACGTATTGGCTACGTTAAAAATTTCTTTAGTACTTTTACGGATGGCATATCATAAAAAGAAATAACATTAGTGTGTTATTCGGTTGGCTTGTGTTTAATGAGGGTCAATCCGCCTAAAGCGCACAAAAAGCAGTTGTCGCTGTCGAGTACAGCCCCCGGTCATGCCCTTCAATGTTTAATTTTAAAACACAAATTGGTTATAATTTACCTCAGAATATTACCTGATATGGATCTTGAGCCAAAAAGTAGGTCACTGTACAGCTGTCAATGAGCACCTAAATGCGCAGAAACCGAGACAATATGAAAAGGCTAGGTGGCCCTGAAAATGGCTGTTGGTGTCAAGCACCATCACGTGCTAGGGGTTCACGTATCACTCTCGATGATTGCGAAAAATTGTATAAACATTCATTTTACAGGTCCGTTGAAATACAACATTGATCGCGTATTTATAGTATACTCACAAAATATGTCCAGTTTAAGCATGCGTGTAATGTAAAATTCTCAATCTACGTGTTCCCGTGTCGCTATTATTCTTGAAACATTTCGAATCTAACAAGCGAGTGACCGCGTATAATTAACTCATGTTTATTATTGTAAACAATGGAGAGTTCAACGTTGAATTCAAATTGAATATTTTTAATTTATTAGTCGCATTAAAAATGGAATATAAACATACTTTGTAAAAACAGGTGATGTAAACATTCACGTGTCGTGAAATATCGATCCGTGAGTAGTCATGTGGCTGAAGCATTTTATATGAGAAATCCTTTTAAAAATGTAAAATTAATTCATTAAACATATTTATAAGCAAGTAAATAGTATGAGGTATATGTATCTTGTCCCATTATTTACGTTTGTTAATTTTTCTGAGTAAGTCCTTTAGTTCCTTCTTAAACAGTTCTAGAGATCTGTCAGCGGCAATTGCTGGTTGTGTTGCTGGTGGAGGAGAAGTTGTGCGTGGTTTTTTCGTGCAGTTGAAATTGTCGCCCGATATGACGTGCCCGGACCTGTCACACCTTGTAAAATAGCACCAAGTGCCCGAACGTCCCCTACTTATTTCTGTACCTAATGGATAGTATTTCCCATTATAGTAACAGCCTGGAGGTCTAGTTGTAGGTGGCATTGTCGTTGGTCTTGTTGTTTTACCGCAGTTAAAATCATCACCATGGATGACCTCCCCGTAACTGTTGCATTCAACAAAGTAACACCAGTTTCCAGTCTTACCACTGCTGATTTTAGTGCCAGGTGGATAGAATTTGTGGTTGTAGAAGCAGCCGAAAGGCGGGGTCGTTGTAGGAGTGGGCGGGGTCGTTGGTGGAGCTGTATGCGTGGTCGGTGGACTACAGTTATCTTCTATCACATTTCTAATGTTCCCGAGAAAACCACATCTTAATGCAGAGCACGTGTTAGTTTGCCAGTCGTACGTTTTATCTGCAAAAGAAAATAACCGTGAAATATGAGAGAGATGTAACTTTAAGAAAAGGTGAAATGTTCGACTTGAAAACAGGTACAATGTACTTCAGTTGTTCATCACATTTAATGGTCGAGGTGTATCCCAGTCAACTGATTACAATGTTCCTCCTCAAACATTCAAATAAGGTTTCCTTGACATACAGTTTAGCTTGAAACCTACAAAAAGCGGCGTCAATTTGGTCGTAAAATACTAAATTCGACAGACTGACAATTAGTAAATACAAGTTATATTTTAACATTATTTTTAAACAAAATTTAAGTAATTGACTATATGAATGAATTGAAACATTGCCGTTGCTCTGTTTACATTAAAGGCCCATTATGCCTTAGAAATGCTTTTAAATATAATTTTCCATAAGCTTTCTATTTTTGATGTCCGATTAAATTTTCCAAAATGTTACTAATTGGCCAATTACCTAAGCCATCTTTTTCTTCTGTAACTTTATTTTTTGGCAATAAGTACAGTAATAGTGATTTTGTATGGAAGTGAAAATAATACTTTGTTTATATTTTGCTACTATTATGAACAATAATTTAACATTCAGCACTACTTTCTTCAGGTGATATGCATTTAAGGTAGACCATGGGTAATGCATTACCTCCACTTTGAAGAGTATTCAAATAGGCTAGAATCGCTTGTAAACTACATTGAAATTGAGGGGCGTGGGTTCAAACCCCAGAAGGGGCAACTTTTTTTTCTTTCTTTTTTTCTTTTTAACATTTTTTTATGTATCTCTCTGATCCCTTATGGAAGAAAAAAAGTTTGATTTTAATTATATAATTATTTTAGGTATTTTTTGGTTAAATAATGCCAAAATTTATAACAAATATGATACCAGATATTTTCAAAGTTCGATAAAATAAAAACTACACGGTAAAATTATTTTATATTTCGCATGATCAACTAATATACCTTTGAAAACATTTAGGCAAAGTTTGAAAACAGACCCACATTTCGATAAATTTTAGGGATATTTTGAATAAGGCATTTTAGATAGGGAAATGGTAAAATTAGTGTTAAAAGTGGGTGGGGTAGGGTTACATTTTTATACATTTTAAGAACATTTTGTTTAGAACCAAACATTTTGGTTGTGTAATGTGTTACTTGAATGCTATTATTTGTTTCTTAACAATGAGCAATAGAAAAACATTTTTTATAATGATGATATTACAGATTATTTACAGTTTCCTCATTTCTGAAAATAAGCCCTTCAAATGGCAAGGTCTTAGTTCAGAAATATATCCATAACTCATAAACCACACGGTAAATTTTATTTAAATTTTGCATACAGGTGACCTTGAAGACATATAACTGTCCTATGTTGTCAATTTTACAGTTCTTTATGGTGCCCATTACCCATGGTCTACCTTAACATTCTCTAAACCATTGCCTAAACGTTAAAAAATTTATTTTTGCCCTTTTAACGGAAGGAATTATTTATTCGTTTCTGATTCATAAGGTGTCTTTAATAAACTGTATCTCATAAACAAATGATCTGAAATGTATATACATTCAGTGCACAGTTGCAAATATATACAAAAAAGATAATAATGATACTTTAACGTAGGCGAATTTTAACAAAGGTATTTATGTAAATGAAATTGTAATCTGCGTTAAATATAGTGGGGTTTTTTTTTATCTCACTTACATATAACACTTTTCTCTTCAAAACTACTCATGTATGTATTAGTTCTCAACTTTGAACTCACATACCTAAGGCTATTTAGATATGATTCATTTGTGTGTTTCAAACATCTCATTCTGGGGAAAAAATAATCAGGCATGCGCATGGATGTCATTATTTGTTCATCAATAAGTTTTAAATAAAGCAGCATGCCTCCAGATAAATGTCATGAAAATTTTAAAATGCCTATAAATGTAAAATATTGTGAAGTGAACAGAAAAATTAACACAATGCAAACACCACTTCAAATTCACATAAAGTCCAAAAAGAAGTAAAAATATGTAAAAAAAAAATTTTAAAAATAGCCCCTACTGCATTTGTCACGCAGAGAAAAGTACCGCAAAACCAGTCGTCGTTTATCGCAAATGACATGTAAATTGTTACTTGAATATTTTTACTTTGCACATTTTTCTCAAGCTAGATATATTTTTACGCATGCAGAAGAATGCAGCTTTAAATTTGTCACGGTAGATAATAAGCAATCGACTCGTATTTCTATCGATACGTTGTTACTTCCCTTGATGTCTATGGTTACCACATTCTGTAGACTCTGATAGCATACCCTTGCATTACTTATTGTTAAGCGTCAGCGTTCCTTTAAAAATATAATTTCTATGATGATGTCGGAAGTCTGACAGAAATTCAGTGATCCCTTGAGCGGCAAATATATTTCTTTTATCGTCGATCGTTCGAGTTAAATGTTGATATAGATCTATAATGCCGTACATTATAAAAAAAACTGTACAAAATAGGTTTGTTACATAATTAAACCCTTATATTTTATACAAAGTGTAATATTTAGGATTAGGATTAAGTTATATTGGTCAAGATCGTATCAGGATAATTTCATAGTTTAAAAAATCTCTTCAGAGGAACATAAAGTCTTACCAAATGTGTCTCCCTTATTGTAATATATTCCATTATGAAAGCATCTCGTTGTAAGCTTTTTAAACCATCCAGAAAGCCACGCCCTTTTTCTTTGGCGTATACTAAAGGCACTATTGATACTAAGTGCAAAAAGTAACACGCAAATTAGAACAGAAAGAAGCCACACGTTCATATCTTAAAAATTTTTCTCAACGAATATGTTTATTAGCGTTTGGTAACAATAATTGAACTAAAGATATATTATAACGGTTGGTCGCACCTTACTATATTGGCTTCTTAACGAAACGTGATGTTGACGTACGGGATTGTATCGTGGCAAATCAACTGTACAAAACAAAACTACAATATTAAGTATAAATTACGGTGGCTGATTTAGTACACATCGCGCGTTGCGTTGTCGATAGCGACAACACTCGCTATTATGATATCGTCTTTTCGTCTTTTCGTCTTGTCGCTAGCGAAGCACCCCAAAGGGCGGGTTGTCGTGCGGTGCGTTGTCGCGATGTCGCCAATCCTTCGATTTTGTCCAATTTCAAATCATTTTCCTGAGAGTAATTGCGATAAATATGCGAATTATCAAGTTTAAAAATGTCCGATCGATTTTCATGAAAGACATGTCCAAATTCTAGTTTAAATAATGAAATTCCTGAAGAAAACAAATCCAAAAAACCGGATAAGTGAATTTCAGTGTAAAACACCGAGTAAATACTATTGCAAAAATATTACATAAAGCCAAGTCTTAATTATAAGGCCATTTACAAGACAAAATAAGCAGAAAAGAATTTAACTGCTTCATTGCGTTTAACATTACTTTATATTGTGAAAAACACAAAATTTGTGAGAAAGCTATTGTTAGTGTAGAAAGCTTTAACATCTTATAAAATTCCAATGGAATCTATAAACTTTAAAATTACGTTTCCATAATCATGTGGGGATTTTAAAAAAAACAGTTGTACCGTAGAATGTCTCTGCTATTTTAGAATCTGGATAAAGTGTGATCCCTCGGAAGCATTTATCGCAACAATATTACATGAAAAATGCAGATTCGGTTTTATTGAGTCTGTACATGAGGGGTAAATTAAATGAAAAAGTGCACATTCCTCACGCCCCCTAGCACCGACTTGGGTGGTACTCAATTTTCAACACTTAAAACAGTTGGAATCAATGATCCCGAAGGACCAGACAAATATATAATCACTGAAGTGCAGACAAACGAATATTGCACTTAAAAAGAAAAATAATGATCTGAAGCAAAGTATTAATATGCTGCTGTTTTAGTAGAGTTTTGGCCATTTATCGATGATTCTGTGCATGCGCCATTCACTCTTTATGAAGTAAACAAGCATACTTATATCTTGCAGATATTTTAGAAGTATTCTTTTTTTTTAAATCAGACACATTTTTAACAACAACATAGCTTTATACACTTTAATACTAATGGGCTTAAAGTTTTATGTCAATTAAGTATTTAGTTATAAGCCTCCGGGGTACTTTACCTTGTTTTATATCCGTGTTGTAAATTATAATCTGATGACTTTGTAAGTATAATTGAGTCGTATATACAAAAAGAAATCGAAAAATCGTGTCAATTTTAAGGTTGATTGAATATTTTGCGAAAACTGACTTAAGTGCATCCAAATAAGGTCAAATGTTTTTGGTGTGTGGTACATTATATTTATTCATTACGTGTTTTTATTTATTTTTTCAAAGATATTGTGTACTTTTTACTTATACAAAGTCAAAATGTATTAGCTACTAATTAATATATTGCACAAAACAATCTTTAGATGAATTTAATTCGTGTATCTAGTACTTTGATTTACACTTGGACATCTTAGCAAGTAAAATCCCTTTCATATTTAACTAAATCATGGTCATATGTCATCCATAATGGTTCTACTGACATACATGTATCAATATGATTTGAGCCGCGCCATGACAAAACCAACATATTGTATTTGCGACCAGCATGGATCCAGATCAGCCTGTGCAGCTGCGCAGTCTGATCAGGATCCATGCTGTTCGCTTACAAACCCAATAACAAGTAGAGAAACTGATAGCGAACAGCATGGATCCTGATCAGACTGTGCGGATGCGCAGGCTGGTCTGGGTCCATACTGGTCGCAAACCAATTATGTTGGTTTTGTCATGGCGCGACTCATTTCTGTTTTCGTCGATGCATTAGCAATGCAACATTTTAGCCTTTCTTCCTTCTTCTTTCCAAAGGAAAGCATTTTTTATATATATACTAAGACATTGTAACATATAAGTAAATGATTTACGTATCTGGACAGACAATCTATGCTTCATCCAATGCAAAAGTTAGGAAATGAGTCAACATGACTTTTTTATATATGTATTTTTAACATCAGTCAATAAACAAGATTGATATTTCCAGAAAGAAGAACATCATTCTAATCTATAACATATAAGAGTGATAACCTATTACGCGATATACACGCCTTTTAACGCCTTTTTCAACCCCCCCCCCCCTTTGTTGTCTCAAATGGTGAAAAAAATGCTTTATTTAGGCCCCAACACTTGTTTTTGGTTTGAGAAACGTCGTTTAAAAAAGTGACCACTTTTTCGGCGCGGCCACCAAACCAAAAGATACATCAGGGGGGTGCCAGGAGGGGGATGTGCCCCCTTCTGTTTGTGGGTTTTGAAGGGGGCGGCAGTCCCCCTTATCGCCAAGAACATTTTGGACTTGTGAGAGGCTAAACATGACCCCAGATCGATCATAAGGTAACGTGTAACCAACGCTGAAAAGCATTTGACTCTATCTCAATCCATTGAGAAGTTGCAGCACTTTGAAATCAATTTTGATGGAAAAACTCAACGCAAAATAGTGATTTTTGGCAATTTTGATATGTCCCCTCGTTGCCATGGTAACAGGAAATTTAATCCTGAGCATGTTGTTGCAAAGGCAATGGTTCAGTCAACATTTGTGCCAAGTTTGATTAGTATTTAAGCAGTTTTAAAGCAATTTGAACTTGTAACGGGAGACTTTTCAATGAAAACAGCCATTTTTCACGAAATGCTCATGAAGTAATGGGTTAATGCGCCTTTTCCCGTGCATTACAGGGCGCATTTAAAGTCCGAGTCTCAGGGTAAAGGATTTAATTAGTCTAAAGGGCATCTGCAGATGTTAATGCCCTTGGACCAATTAACTCTTTAGTCCTGTGGGCCCGAGCTGTAAGTGTGTCCTCGTGCCTTTGCAGATGTTAATGCACGAAAACCATGTACATCAACTCTCTATTGCACAAATATAATATTTGCATAGTATAGTAAATGTTTATACGTAATGGACGACATAGTTAAGCCAAGCTTTTATGCAACCTTGATCTGTCCTATTGAAAGAATCACCACAGATTTATGTCGATAAAACAAGAATATGTATGAGTATAACCCACTTTGGTGAGTAAAGGAAAACTATTTAATGGAATTTTAACTTTGAGGACGAAAAAAACGATTAATTTACATTTCATTTCACACTGATGTCGGTGATGCATTCTCAAAACAAATGATTTTTATCGAGATTATCTTCACATTGGTCACAATGGTCAATTGTATGCACGGACCTTGCTCCCGGCAGGGCATTACGACCAAGATATTTAGTGTAAATAACTTCATAACTCTCATAGCTATTGTTACAGTGTGTTTCACGTTCTCTGACTCCAGGAATGATGAAGATTTTAGGTATGTAAATAAAAACATTTTCTGAGAAGTTTAGAACAAAGATTTATATTAAAGCTAGGTAACTTTAACGATTTAAGTAAAAAAAAACTGAAGAATTTTAGAAGTCATTTAATAAAAAGAACAAAACTAAAACTTTTTTTAAAAAAGAATATCCAAAAAGATTAATGGATTATAATTATTTTTATCATTAAATGTAATACATTAAATAATCTACTCATGCAGTCTTTGTCGACAGGTGGTCATTAGAACAGTAACATAAGACAGTTTTGCTGATAAATATAAGAGTTAACATGCTGGTCTGGAATAATACGTTTTCTGTTCATTTATGGTCTTTATACGGAGATGTATAAATGAGCCTTGTCACGACAAAACCAACATAATGGGTTTGCGACCAGCATGGATCCAGACCAGCCTGCACATCCGCGCAGTCTGATCAGGATCCATGCTGTTCGCTTACAGACCGTATAACAAGTAGAGAAACTGATAGCGAACAGCATGGATCCTGATCAGACTGCGCGGATGCGCAGGCTGGTCTGGATCCATGCTGGTCGCAAACCCATTATGTTGGTTTTGTCATGACACGGCTCATTAATGTGATCGTACAGATTCACAATTTGTATTTTTCAGTTATTCTGGCTGCAGTTTGTATTTCGGTACATGCAAAGAGATTTAGTCGATCAAAGTCGAGATGTCAATACAATGGAAAACAATATCAGGCCGGAGACACCTTTGGTAAGCCTTGTAAATTGTTTGTGTGTTCACTCGTCCGTATGTTCGTTCGTTAGCTTCTTTATTATTTTTGTAAAATTAATGATATGGAAAAGTTTTACCTCATAACCAAACTGCGCTCTTCAAAGTGTTAACCTGCAACTTAAAATATTTTAATGTTTTAGAAACTTTTTGGATTTTTTCCCGATCGAAAGTATTTCAATAAGTATATAAGTATATACAATCATTGAAATGCATTAAAGAATTCAAAATAACGGCAGTTTTCCTTTCTTTTTTTTCCTCACAAACAAAAAATATTGTCCGGGCAAAAGAGTGTTTCTGTACGGAAGCACAGAGGGAACATTCCGATTTGATTTTATTTTCATATCTCGTGGACACGAGATATACATGTAACTCAGAAAAAAAAATCGCTATCTCGTTCCCACGAGATATATGTCACAAAAAACAAAAACAAAATTTGCTATCTCGTGGCCACGAGTTAACCGACCAATCAGATGAACACATCTTAGTCGTGGTAACGAGTTAGCTAACCAATAAAATCGAAAATTTGCTCGTTTGTTTCGGCGCGAGTAGACATACTTGCCAAGATGGCGACCTAAAGAATGATTCCATGGCAACGAGGTAGAATAAAAAGCTGATTTCCCGATTAACACTTATGAACAAGATAACGAATTATTCTCATTTGTCGGGTTTTTTTCTGAGTTATAACTCGTGACCACGAGATAACAAATTTTGTTTTCTGTTGTTTTTTT